TAATTAATGTATTTTATATTTCAACTGTACTGGTGATGAACCGACATGTTTCCTCTTTGGCACAATTAATGAAAATTCCTGAATGAAATTTAAAAAAAAAACACTGCAGTTTGGCGAATCATTCCCTTCACTTGCCAAAATGTAAGTATATGCCTATTAAAATGTCGTTTGCATCGTGCTACCTGAATGATGTTTACTTCTTCCACAACGGAAAAGCATTCATGAATTAGATTATACAATTTAGAATCAAAGGATTTTAAAGAAGCATTATCACAAAGGGAAAGTAAAAAAATCGTACCTGATTATTATTTAATGTAAAATAAACAAGTTTATGCATTAGACTGAAAACTGTACTCAACAAAACGTTCATGTTAATTGTTTGTTAATTATGTAGATACTGATATAACGTACTAGGCTGATATAACAGAAGAGCACATTAGGTCATTCAATTGTGTAAAAATTTGGACTTCCTAAGTACAGTACTTCGGTAAGTCGAAGTTCAAGGGACTTGCGTAAATACTTCGACACATCGGGATTTCGACTCATGAATAGGTCTCAATTTGATGACAAAATTTCGAGCCGTTTATGTATACAAGCAAGTTACAAAAGGTGTAACAAAAGGAAAGGGAGATAACTTAATCAGCTTATAGTAAATATATCCCCGCGTGATTATCATGTGACAACGGGTCGTGGAAGTTCTCAAATGAAAGTAGTTCTTATTGTTTACTTTCAAATACCACTACAGCGAATTGAATGGTAACAATTAAAGCACTTTATCACACATTTAAATGCAAACAAAGGCTGTTAGAACGCATGGCTGTTTTATTAACACCTGTCACACAAGTTGATTGGAAATCATCTCGCGGCCAGAAAAGGTGTATAGAATGTCTTGAAATCGAAGATGTCAAAAAACAAAAAAAAAAAAAAAAAAAAAACTAGTGACTTCGACTAATTTGTGGTAAATTGTACTCGATTTTTTCTGTACGGACCTCGAAAAAAGTTCGACACATCAAAAAATTCGACACATAAAATTGCGACTCATATATAGGTTTTTATAAGGAATATAGGGAAAAAATCAGGACTTTCATTTTACTTCGACACACCGAGAAAATCGACTAATCGAAGTTCGACTCATAGAAGTTCTACTGTATATGTCTACATGGACATAAAAGATTAATAAGATATTAATTAATATGTCAATTTATGTACAAGGTTAAATGTATTGCATTTAGGAATAGTTGGACATTCAAAATCGATGTTTATATATTGTTAAGCTTAAGGTGCAAAGTGTAACGGACAATATTTTGAATTGCTTAGGAAAAAAATTTTAAATGTAGCACTTGGTTTTGCGGAAATTGGGTGAATAATTTAAACGGGATTTTAACCCAAAAATGCTGCATACCGATTCTGGTTTGATGAGTTTATTTTGTTTTTGCAAGTTTGAAATTAATATTTTATTTTTTATCATTATATTTTAGTATAGAATTGAACTAAACAAAACAAAAATGAATATCCTTTGTAAACTGTCATCTAAATGGGCCATTAGACGTAAACATTTAATAAAAATTTGTAAATCCCAAATAATTTGGTAAAATTAAAAGAAGCCTACAAAGGGAAGTATGTTCCCGTCTAGTAAAAAAAACTATGATTCGTCTTTTATTAAAAATTTTTCCTCTTTTGAATGCTTTAAGAATTTTTTCCCAAAATTTCCCCTTTTTTTCGTAAAGACTTAAAAAACAGTAAAGTATTTTTTAATAATTTGTACTTATTTAAAACATTTAAATTAAAAAGGTAAAATTGTTTTTAAGTTTTAAAAATTTAAGAAAAACAAATTCTGTGTCTCATATTTTTTAAAAAAAGATAAATTAAAAACAGTTCAAATGGTTAAATTTAATAATTTCAAATCCTAGAGCAGCTTAAAAATAAAATTTTGTGTTTGCCTGTTAAAAAAGTAATGGCCCACCCCTAGGGGCCAGGGGTCTGTCGTCAAAACTGTCGTATTTTCTTCCGTCGGTCACCCCAACTTGTCCGGGCACCCCAAGAAAAATTTGTTTCCCAATTTTATTTCGACGGAATAATAAGAAAAAGGGGTTTTCTTTTCGCCCTCCCCTTCTTTTTCCCGGGCAAATGTTGGGTTTTCCTTTTTTGATTTTAAAATTAAAATTTTTTTAATTTTTTAAAGGGTTTTCCCCGGCCCCCTCTTTTTACAAACTAATTTAATATTTAATGAAACTTTACAGGATGGATGGGTAGCTCAATTTCTTGCGCATATGTAACGGGTGTTTTAGCTGAGATTTAGCTTTGAATAAAACGCGCATTTTAGTCTGTTTAAGATTTGTGTGTCTCCTGTTTATTATTACAAGATATTGTCTACTTAGATATTACATTTTATCTAAGAAAATATTAATTTGCCCAGACAGTTCGATTAAATAATTTGAATTTGTACAATATTTAAAAGTTAATCAACATATCTGATAGCAAACTTGTCAAACGCGCCCAAATCTTTCTCATGAAATGCAAGATACTGTTTTTCTGTAAATCAGTCATAAAACGTGTTTCTGTTATATTTACTCTAACTTGAAGACCAAAGCCTTTTTGTTTATGTTTCACCAACGTAGATTAGAGTTTTATTGCATAGTTTATTTATCATTCCACATATATATTTTTGTTAAGTCTTATCTAATTTTTAATTTCAAATACATATTTGCTTTTTTGTTATCATAAACCTATGTATAGAGGTATTGCTACAACTGTTGAGAGATCAGTCTTTACATATGTACATATTTACCTAGCTCTTAACATTTGTTAAAAAAAGAACTTAATAAATCGAAAATGCGTCGTAAATATTGTTCTTTTTTTGCAGTGTAGAGATAACGTATCAATTGCAATACAAATATTACAGTGTGTTTCTAAACCTTAATATAAAATATCTTTATTATTTGCTGAGACCTGTTGCATATATTATACATTATACCAAACAAATTATACAAAAACATGGATTGTATAACGATTTATACACGTGTTTTATTTACACAAGCCAATTAAATCTGCCACTATATATTAAATCATTTAAAGGCATAAAATGCTTCTTTTAAACGTAAATACAGTAGAACAAGATTTACAAACATACTTCTTTTTTTCGTAAATGCAATACAATGTTTGTTTTGATATAGAATAACATTTAAAATCATACATATGTAAATGCACAAACGTACTTTTAATATCTTAGGTAGAAACATTCATTATCAAACAAATCACTATTATATTGATTTGATTTACATCAGTCAAGCTTTTGTTCCATTTGGCTACAAACACGTTCTCCGTGGACTCAGACTCCTATTTTCGTATGCATGACGTATGCATGACAACATAAAATATACATGTGTAATTATTAAATTGCAATTGCACAATTGCAAGACTTCACCAACTATTTTTAAAGAGAAAATAATTATGAACAAAGCAGCAAAAATAAAAAAAACACACAAAAACACACAAAAAACAACAACAAAAAACATACATCTAAATGACATTTACACCTTTTTTCAAGTTTTTGTGGGGTTATTTTGCAATAATTAGGGACCTTTCTAACACAAATTTTGGGGGAAAAGGGTTTTGGGCCTTTAAAATTAAGCACTAGAGGTTGGGTTGTTGGGGAAACCCGTAGGGTTTCCATATATATATCGGACCAAATATAAACGGGGTTTTACAGATATTAACGGGGAACAAACAAAAACATACAAAACAATGGTGTTTTTTGGGGGTTTTCATTTTTATTTTGTGAGGGGCTCAAAGGGGGAAAGCAATTATTTAATAAATCAATTTATCGTTTAATGTATTGGTTAAAATATATTTTGCAATTCAATAGGGAATTCAAATTATTCTATTTTGAACATGCAGATAGTTTATTTACTATTTTGATAATTTGTTTACTTGTTTACTATTATTTTGAAGAGAACAACAGTCTTATCGGCATACATGTTCGATTAATTTGTTTTCCGTGCATTAGATACGATCACAATCTTTTTAATGTATTGAAGAATAAATTTATGTCCATTGCCTTGGTTATTTTATTGCTTTCTTTGTATAACGTAAAATTACTATCTTTTCACTTTTACAATCTTCTTTCTTTGCTTTTAATTCGTTGTAGATCATCAATATTTATTTATATTACTATGAATTAGAAATAATAACGGTTAATCTTACTTTAACATGAATATTTTAGCTCTTTGTGTATCGTAAATATTATAGTACTTGTGTGCTTTCTGTACATATGTAGCGTAATTCACACCTTGTTTTCTGTTCTGATCAACACGATTCTTCGTTTGTTTTTTTATTAGTTGTATTACGTTCTTTGCTTTTCTTTATATAGAGATACATGTCGTGACAGTCTGTTTTACTTAGGCGTGATCCTTTATTTTTGTTTTCTGTTTATTGGAGAAAACCACAGTCATTGTTACAAAATATTTTTTTTCTTTATTTTTTCTTTTTATATCAAAGATAGTAATCGTCGTTATTGTATCTTCTACAAACGGATATTTAACAAACGATGTATTCATTTAACTGCTAACTGTATGCTTAACAAAAACGTAGTCTTTTTAAACTTGAGTATCGTTTGCTTTAGTATTTATTTGCTACGAGTATCTGTTAATTGGCAAAAATCTAAGTCCAGCACTTTTAAGTGTTGACAATTGAGTACCGCCAAAAGCGGTGCTAGGGGGCGTGAGGGGTGGTTGTACTTTTTCATTATCCCTCATATACAGACTCAATCAAAACCGAGGCTGCAATTTTCATGTAACTTTGCTGTTTTTGTTGCTTCCGTGGGATCACTTTTTTCAAGATATTTCAAGTTGAGCATGATATTTTATTTATTAATTTATTATCATCATTTATTTATATATTTTGGTATAGACTAACAGTGCTGTAATTTGCAGATTGTTTTCAAATATTGCACTCTACCCGTCTTAATTCTAATACATTATGTCCAAGAGAATTTTAACTCAAAATATTTGAAGTAAATCATCTGTAATATGACATTTTCGGATAATTATGTAAAATGTTGCAGTGAATTAGATGTCGTTTTATTTTCAAATTGTTATTACTTGTTTGTAGCTTGTGTTGTTGCTGTCGAGCAAGAATCAATCAAGGTAAATAAAAACAAATTTATACCTCAACAAAATACAGATATTTATACGCATCATAACTGCTTTAAAAAGTTATACCATAAAATTTCAGGGGTGATTTTGGCCAATTGAAGATGATAATGCATGATTTTTTATATGCAGAAGCAACCAAGCAAACTAATGGAACGTCGGAGATTAAGGTCCTCTTTTACTAGTAAAACTGGAAAGTCTTTATGTGACATTAAAGTGTTGTCTGACTTGATAGACAAGGAAAACGATTTCAAAATGTAATACATTCCCTGAATGAAATATTTTTTGCAAATGATTGAGTAGACTTTAATTTAGTTTTGGTATGTTTTAAAAATCAATTGGAAGTTGTTTATTGTAAAGAATATATATAAACACAAACTGAAACTCTACACTAAAACAAAACACTTTGTTCACAAAACAAATACAATTGTGACCGATCAATATTGATTCGTTCTGAAAATAATGGTTTATATATTGGTATAATTTGTAGTTTAAATTTGCAAATACCGTGGCGTAATTATGATTTCTAATGATATCACGTACACTATCAACTTTCTTATTATTATAATGATTAAAGGAGCATCCTTCCAGATTATTGCAAATGTTCATAAACATTTCGAAGATGTATTCAAAAGTAAAATATTGCAAAGTGAACAAGAACAAAGAAGAACAAAGCAAGTAATTAACACATTGCAAATGGACGTTACAATTTACGTAAACAGGTCAAAAATACAAAAGTAGTCCTTATTTAGTGAGTCACGCAACATAAATGGTTATTGCAAAACCAGTCTTAAATCACAGATAACAAGTAAAAATATTCATGATTTTTTTCAGGCGAACGGGCACCTTATTGACAAGTGGGGGAAAATATTTGATTTTGATGATTTCAGTCATGATGAAATTCTTTCAATTGAAGACGTAAAAGTATATGGGTAAGTGTAAATGTTTAACTCAAATTTATTTAGACAAGGAAACATCATTTGATTGATTTATCTTTCACAAAGCCTGAATAACGAATCACTTAACAGGGTTCGGTCACAATAATAGATTTATAAAGCATGTGGAATAAAATAAAACGAAAATCTGGGGGTGACAGTTCAACTTCTTGACTTATTTGGTTCATGTCCACGAATTAATAATTTCAACTCTGTGAATTCACTATTTCAACTTCATGAATTCTCGATTACAGATTCAATAGGTCACGATTTCAACTTCATAAATTCACGATTTATGCTTCACGATTTCCACTTAATTAATTGACGTGATTATCTTTATGATTTCAATTTCGTAAATTCACGGCTGTATGTTCGTGAAGTTGAAATCTTGCAAACATAAATTCATGAAATTCAAATTCATTGAAATCGGGAATTCGCGAAATTTTATTCGTGAAGTTCAAATCGAGAATTCATGAAGTTGAAATCGTGATCTTAAAATCGTGAATTCATGAGGTAGAAGTCGTGAATTATTGAACTCAGTAGTTTAAAAACGCGAATTAACACAGTTAACAATGTTAATTCACAAAGTAAAACATGTAAATTCGGGAATTCATGGAAATGAAATATACTCATCATCAGTCTTTTGTTGAATATGACTTTTTACTTCTTGTTAATACCAAATTTGTCAGAATATAAAATTTTAGCAAATATTTTTGAAGTGTGGTTTTGGTTAATATGGTCTTTCAACTTTTTGATTCGGTACTGGATCTTGTTTGTTTTTGTAAAGGTTTTACTCCGCTCATATTAGGTCATACGGCGCCGAAACCGCAAAGCTAATTTCGGTTTACTCTGGTATTACTAGTTAAAGCAACACCAGGGGTCAAAACTACATCACCTTCCGGAACTAAGAGCTGCGAATAATCCAGTAATTCACAGCCCTTGAGTCGCCATGTCGAGTTGATTTATATGATCATTGATTTCCTTTACAGGGAACATTATAGAGCTCGTTGTGATATGACCGATAAGCAAATAAAGACGTTTATAAAAGAAATGGATAGACTATGGAAGGGCTTCTTTTTCACAAACAAGAAAGAACTTTCCAAAGATGACTTTATTAACTTGATGAAACAAAGATATGAGTCCAACACAACTGCTTTTATTGAGATGGTGCTTTTGTTCGAATCGGGTTGGTGCAAATTGATAGACTTGAATGGAGACAAGTTTCTTTCAAAAGATGAATTTATTATGGACTTTAATACTGGAAAGCTCAGCAATACCAAAATAGACGAAACATTTTTCTACATGTATCAGCCTGTTAATGATCGTATCCCTCTTGACGATATGATTATGTCTTTTGTTCTCTTTTTTACTGAACCCGGTAAGTCGAAACCGGACATTGTTTTTAATGGATTAAATATCGGAGTTTGAATAATAACTATTTTCTTGAAACGTGAAGAAAAACTGGAAGAGAACAGATAATATTAAATAGTTTATCCGAATACCATTATGTTATTTAATCTTATTTTATAAAACAAAATACACCTAAGACGTGAATGTGAACTATCTGTAAACACCTATTTCTAAGGACATACAATATTTTTGTAATGGTATAAAATGACTGATATGCAATATTGTGACATATGATAAAGCTTGGAACAAAACAATAAATGACGCAAATGCAACAATCATACTTAATTGACACATTATAAATGTCTTGACACGAGTTTAAAAACTTAAAACAGTTCCATTTCTTGATAAAAGGGTCCGAAATGTTTTCCAACATAATAATCCGATTTGACCGGAAGTTTCCGACCATATGGCAAATCATTAATATATAAGAAAAACTAAATCCTAATTTTTAGTTTAAAAAAAATAATTAAAAAAGCTTATTTTGAGAAATAAAATCCTCATTAGGACTCAGTTTAACCTTTTAAGGATTATAAAAATCCTAATAATAGCTGGGATAGTTTAAAATTTTCAGAAAACAACAGCCTGAAAAATTTACACAATCATAAACTTATCCTAGCATACGCCCGTACAAGTAATCTTCAAGATTCTCTCACCCATTTAGCTCTAAACAAATGACATGTAAATGGTAATGAATGTTACAGAAAAAAGTTGTACTCCCTGCAAAATATGAAGAAAGTAATATATTCACAGGTACAAATGCGGGAGAAAATGCAATAGTTTTTCTGCTTATTACAGTAGACATAATTTAATAAAAATGTTTCATTCACTTTCTTACATATTATTCGCCAATAGCCTCAAACTTACTCGATATCCATCGAAAACCTTTACGGCATCTTATATGTCAATTTTAAAATAAGCAAATTTGGAACGGTAATAGAAAATTCCGCACAGCAATATTAACGATATTGGTAAGTTACTGCTTGCTGCAGAAAAACAAGTTTGAAAAAAACAAGTAAGAAAATGTTTTAGATTTAATTGGTAAATTTCATATTATGTGCGATTAATGACTGAGTTTGCGTAATTTGTCACTATCTTTAAAGTATCCTTATTTGACATCTATTTGTTTTTACAAACAAGTAACAAGCACACATTTAAAAAAATATATTTGAAAACTAAAAAGAAAGAAGTAACAAGTAAAATGTTTTATTGTTCCATACCAAATTCTGCAAAACTATCTTTTTTAACTTCTTTTTTAACTGTGACTCTGTACACCGGGGTACATGTCAGTTCAATAATGATTATAAATGATAAGCACATCTTTTTCACCTTGAATACTTGTATTTTAATTTTAATTATTTGCATTTTCTTGGTCAAAGAGAGTTTCACCGGGTTGATATAAATTCTATTTGAAGAAAAAGAAATTGAGTGTTCTACTATTTCTCATCAAAGCAAGGAATAATTGATTTTTTGTTTGTTTTTTAATTGCATAGATTATAAAACCGACGAAAGTCTTCATTATTACGTCTTAGCTGCACATACGTAAGTGTCTGCATGTTCCGTGTTGCATATTGTGTTCTCCGACAACTTGTTTTAAGGTCAGGGGTTGCTAGAGGTTTTTAGACAATTGCCGATTATAAGGTACGAAACAGATGTATAATGCATTGGATCTACGTTTCGTTGTTATTTTTTGTGTGTATGTAAAAGTATCCGACTACATAATACATTTAACGCGATATGATATAACATTTATTTCTTTAAATGATATAGTCAGGGCGGGCTTTGCAGTAAGCATTAACATAGCCCACTGAGTACGAAGATTACAGAAAAACAAATGCAATAAAATGAAAACAATATATTACAAAAACACGAACATTCTACAGAATACCTCTTTGCTTCGGTTGTAAGTGCCTTATTGAACAAACTGATCAATATCTTCGTTTGATTCTAATGCAATATTGCTTTATTCTGGACTTAAGCAACCTTTACTCTTTCCTTACAAATTCAGGTCGCAGTAACATTTTTGCTTTTTTACCATATTGACGTTTAAGCGTTTCTGTTCAGACAAGCCACCCTAATTTCTAAAGAAGGTAATAAAATGTAGCATCCTTAGGTGATATTAATAATAGCGCGTTTTATATTTTGAATTAATAATATGTAATATTATTGTAAATATTGTAATAATAATAACATTATGATTACCGAAATGTGTATGTGGCAGTGGGGGCAAGTTTTGTTCAGTTTCATCCTTTCATGTTATTTAAGAGCAAAGATGACGCATCAACGTCCGAAAAAATATTTCAAAGTCTTAGTCAATAGTAAATATAACATTGTTTTAACATAACATAGAACGGTGAGTAAAACACGTTGCATACACAACATATTATACTATACATCGTTCTTTACTTTGCATTATGCATTATACAGCTGTTTCATTTACACAAACAATACCTTGCGACAAAGGAAACTAGACACAAAACACGATATATTTGAGCATTAAAAGCCGAGAATGCTTTAATCTGAATGCTGTAAATGTGTTAATTTGTTTCGTTTAAACACCATATTGACACGTTACTTGTCGTTCCGCGCCGATATTATTCAATAAGATATGCACGACGACATAATACTGTATCCTGCTATTTTCGAAGCTTAGCAAAAGTTCTTTTAAGTTACAGAAATCATATGAGCAAGACAGCTAAAAGATACCATTAGACAACTTAGCATAATTACCTCCAATATTAGTATCATTTTTGTATTTTAAGCAATGGATAATTATAATATTCCTATGTTGAAATTTGACACGCCTTATAGACATGTAAACTAAGTAGCAAGAATATGTCGTTGTTGTTCTGTTCGATCAGTATATGTTAACGGGTAACAATATTGATTAACATGCATTAAAACATAGCAACGATTCATTCAGAATATGATGTATTGGTCGATTC